CCAGACATTTTCTATTTCACTCCAGTCCCCACTGAGTTGCTGACAATTGCCTCCAATCAGAACACTTGTCTCATGCAATGTTTTAACTCCATGTTTTAATCTGTAATTTGATATCACAGTAAAAGACTCAACGTGCATCTAAGATACAGCTTTTTTATTTCATTTATTTATTTATTTATTTATTTTATCCTGGGATTAATATCTCTTTGCTAAGAGCAAGTTCTTATCCATAGTACTTTTCATCTGGTGGGACACCATGCAGTGAGTCACAGAATGAGCACATCTCATCTTCAGTAAATAAAATTCTACATATAAGTGTATGTAAACCAACCAATGCAAACCAAATGGTTGCCCCCCCATTTCTCTTCTGTTATAATTAAGTTAAATTTACACTGTATCAAGTAATACTTGTTTCCTAAGCAACTTATCACACTCAGTTACTGTACAGTGCTGATGATTTCATCTGCTTTTGAGGGCCAAAAGCAGTATAAGAGGCAGGTCGTACACTATTGCCTTTGTTGTTTGCTTTACTGCTTTGAAAATGTCTAAATATGCAATATTCAAAACCTATACAAATCTGAAAATCCTAGAGTTTTTGCTGTGCAAAACCAAATTCTATTGCCTAAGAAGAGCAGAATCAACGTACACCCTCATGAGCCATTTTGCTTGTGCATGCATTGTAATGGCAGTGTGTGTGCTGATAGGCTGCTTGCTAATGACGTGGCATGGTGCACGGACTGTGCCATATTACATCTGAAGGCCTGAAATTACAGTGAAACCAAGATGGAGTGTTGTGGACTTGGGACTTTACAGAAGTTGGAAATAGAAAACATATGAAAATTAATAATCACAAATGTTCTTCTGAAAATTATAGACTAAAAATTGATCTGATTTATGAAAACAACTCTTAGCAGAGAGTTTCTGATATTACTGCATCTTATCAAATTTTCAAGAGTTCAGGAAATACGGCATCCAAAGAACAGTAGGCAGGTCAAGCCACTGGTGTGCAGTGAAAGGATTTCTTCGTCAGAGGGGTTTTGCCTTTGTTATTCACAACCCCAATGATGGAGGTGGAGTTCTTGGGATGGCATAAATCAGTATTGCTTCTGTGCCTTGGGACTCCAGTGGCAGTAATACATAACAAACTGTCTTATCCCATACGAAAATGTATTTAACTTAATCTATATATTTACTGCAAACTGTTTTATAATTGCTTTACAACAGTTCTCCATACGTGGCCTGGGCTGTTGCTCATGGTGACAGGAATATACTGCCATAGGCAAAGGCTGACAAGACAAGTGAAGTATGACATTATTTATAGCCCAGTTCTTGCAGTGTCACACACAGGCCAACAAGGATAGTGGGACATCACTTCAGAGTATTTCAATTTTATTTGTGTATTCTTTTGTACTCCTCAAAGTCGAAAGCTAAGAATAAAAATGATTTGCAACTGGCATGTAAAACATGACTATCTTTGCTGATTTCTATTAAAGATTATAGTAATTTGTAATCTGAGGTATTTAGAAGATGTAAGTAACTATCATCCAACTAGCAACTGGGTTGTTTCCCCATCATAATACATCAAAAAACTTAGATAACAATCCTCAAGAGTATGACACGAATGGTTCTCCATCTTGCCAATGCTGCTCTTTGCAGTGGTTATTTAATTTCCTTTTCAAACAAACAAACAGACCCAAGAGGAAAAGGGGAACGATTTCTGTGATAAGTGGGACATTTTAAAGGCACTGAAAAGTTTTGAATGACAGAGATGGACCAGAACTTGTGTTCAGACAAAAAGGGATACTATCAAAAGAGTACAGCAAAGCATTTGCAAAAGGAAAAGTATTGTATGAATTCATACTCGGTGTCAGTGTATAATTATACCCTTATCACACAGGGCACACAGAAACAGGACTAAAGGTAAGGAAGTGTTACTGTCGTTGACCCACTTAAATGGTGGAGGAGTCACATCTAACAAAAATCCTAAGCTATACAGATCATCCAAGCGTGGCTCAGGAGAGGCTTTATACATTCATTTTTATTTTGAAAGTGTGGGGGTATATGTTAATCTTCTACATGGAATGCACCATTATATCTGTATGCAGTGATTTTATTTGAGAGATATTTCATTCATTTACTGGAAGAGCCGGCCTGAAGTGGGCTTTGCTGCACAGTGTGTCCTAGGCACAGAACCAACGTGCCTCATTGTCAGCGCATGCACCACAGCAGGGAACGACTGCTGGATATATTGACATGGCTTGAATTCTCTGGGTGTACTAATCCAGCAGTCCAATGGAAAAAGAGTACTCTTCCAGCCCTAATACTATGCTAGTATCATGCTAATATCTAAATAAAGAATTCCTGTCAGTCTAGCATTGAATATTAGCAGCCTTCGGCCTCAGGTTCTTACCTGTTTCACATTCAGACACGGTATGTGGAACGTTTCTGGGGCTTAATGACAGCTAATAGCAGAGAGTCAGAGCACAGAACTGGGAGTGCCGGATGTGGTCCCAAGTTCGCACTTGCAGGTGAGTTTCACAGTGCAGGATCGAAGTGTTTTCCCTCCTGCTCTGTCATATGATTGCAGGAGGAAAAAAAAAAAAAAAAAAAGCACATTATGCACCTAAGGTAGCGTGATTCACTGCACTGTGTCCACCATCTTCCTTTCAGGGCCGTATTTCAAGAGGTTTGAGAGCGAAGCAGAGCAGCAGGGTGAGAAGGGAGAGCTGTGCTGGTGCCCGGTCGGACGGCTCCGCTGCCGGAGCGGGGGGAGGTTGGGGGGCGGAAGGGCCGGGGCTGGTGCTGCTCCTGTGCTGAGGTTGGCTGGGGCTGGGCTGTATGGAAAAACGCGAATGAGAGCTGGGATATTTAGCACCTAAAAAAAAAAAAAAAAAAAAAAAAAAAAAAAAAAAAAAAAAAAGTCTGTTTTAATTAATTGTTTACGAATGAGAGAAGAAAGTGAAGGGGGATAACCCCCAGCATCACCCCATCCCCCAAGGAAGCCCGGATACTTCCTTGCTCTCCAGGGTACGATGTGATGTTTTAAGGAAAGGACAGCGGGTGGGTGCAGAAGGGGCGCGATCAGTCCGTGCTCCTGGAGCCGCGGCCGTGCGTTCAGCGTGTGGGGAGCGACGGGACGGGCTGTGCTGTGCTGTACTCGGGGCTGCCCAGCCCCGCTCCCACGACAGGTGCTGCTGCGGGGCTGCCTCCGAGCCGGCCGCGGAGCTGCCGGGCCGCGTGAAATGGCTGCCTGCTATTCGGGTCTGCCGCCTGCTTCACGCAGCTGCTGTTCATTTCTTTAGCGGCCCCTCCGGCTCCCAGGGGCGGCACCCGCGGCTCCCCAGGTGAGACTTGGTCCCACCGCCTCCGCATCCAACCCACCCCTTCCCATTCAGGTCCGCCGCCGCCTCCTCCTCTTCATCGTCATCTTCATCATCATCCTCTCTTGAACCCCCCGGCCTTGCACCCCTCCCGGCTGCTCCGGGGCCACGTGGCAGCGCCTCCCGCTGAGCTCACGCGTGGCCGCGGTGCGGGGGCTCCGGAGCGCCGTGTGCGTGTGGGACTGAGCTGAGCTGTGCTGAAGAGCAAGCGGGTTACGCAGCCCGCTTCGTTCTGTGCAACACTCTCACCTCACCGTGTCCCTCTCCACCCCTCGTTTTCTTCCTCCTCCGGCCTCCCGCAGCTAGTATAATATTGCTTTTGTTAATTGGAGCCCCGAGTGTTTCCAACCCCGCGCAGCCCGGGCCGGCCGGCACCGCGAGCACGAATAGATCCGAGCGGTGAGCAGCAAGGGGATGTGCGGGAGGAGGAGGTGTAGAAGGAGCGACGAACACAAGGCAGATTTGCGTGGAATCATTTAAGCCAGCTGATTTTTTTTTTTTTTTTTTTTTTTTTTTTTTTTTTTTTTGGTCGGTCTGGGGGGGAGGTAGGCTTTTTTTTCTCCCCATTTCTCTCTCTATCCTTTTCTTTTTTTGTTTTCCTGCTCAGGATTTAAATGTCACTCAAAGCATCCCTTAATCAGCTCTCTGCTCGTCTCTGGTTCCTTCTGAGGCATTAATTGGATCATACGCTGCGTTTGAGGAGCTCGCGTGCTTTACCCAAGGAGGTAAGGGGGCTGCTCCGGGTGGCTGCGGTCACTACAAGCACCATTACCTTCGGGGGGGCGGTTTTCCCTTCCCAGCCCCGCGGCAGCTCGAGCTCTACCTGCGGAGCTCCCCTCCCCAGGCTGAGTGCGGGGGACGACTTGGGGGGGGCAGCGGATGAGCCGTGGGAGCCGGAGGCGGCAGCCGGCCACCTCCCAGCCCTGTGCCCCGGGAACAGCCTGCCAGCGCTGGAAGGCAGGAAGTAGCCTAATCCCCTTTTTCAATAAACTATCCCTCGTCGTTCTTTTTCTTTTTCTTTTTCTTTTTTTTTTTTGTCGTGAGAAATACTGTAAGCTCCCATCTCTTCTCCTCCTCCACCGCCCGCCCTCGTTGCGAGCTCCGGCTCCTTTGTCCGCACCTCGCATCGCTTCGGGCGGTTCCTTCCAGGGAGTAAAAAGTTCAGCTGCCCACCTGCCTTCGGCGCTGCACAAGTTCCTGCCAACCTCCCCCCTCCGTGTCAATCCGAATCCGTTCAGCTCCCCCCTCCCCCCCCGCATTTAAACTGGGTTACAAAGCCGCCGGTGCCCTGCACAACTCCTTAAAGTTCTCCGCTTGCTGTGATTTATATTCTATACTAAGAAAAAAGACAACAAAAATATACTCGATCCTCCTGTGGATGACTTTTTTTTTTTTTTTTTAATAATGCATTTCCTTCTTCCCCTTTAATTTTTTTTTTTTTTTTTTTTTTTTTTTTTTTTCAAGGAAATTTGCTCCATCTCCAGCAGCAACCACTGCTCCTTTTGATGTTGTGGTACGCCGTGCGCATGCGCTTCACATTAGAATTACTGCACTGGCCAGAATAAGTTGGATCTCTTCTTCTCTTCACTGAAACCCTAAATCATATCAAAAGCTAAAGGGATGCTGAGAGTCCGGAAAAAGGGTTACTTTGGGATTTGGTCATTCCCTTTAATAATAGCAGTGGTGTGTGCACAGAGGTAAGTGACGAAGGCACTGCTTTACTTTGAATTGCTCTGCATGTTACAGCTAAGAGGAATGTACAGCTTGGGTCCGAGAAATTAGAAATAACGCATTATTATTTTTCTTCCTTAGTGTCAATGACCCTAGTAATATGTCACTGGTAAAAGAGACCGTGGATAGACTGCTGAAGGGCTATGACATTCGCTTGAGGCCAGATTTTGGAGGTAATTCGACAGCTTTTCGATCAGAGATGTTACATATCCGGGCTGTTGGACCTTCTCCGTGCGTGCTTTTTAGACGTGTGGTGGGTGCTGTTGCTCTGGGTGTGCATGTTGCCATTTTCTCAAGATGATCCGAAGTTAAGCTAATTGTTACTCTATTTTCTTAGCACAAGGCGCTCTTAATGCCATCATTTAAATCTCCTGCATATCTGGAATCGGCCCCTCATTGTGTGCGTGCTGATAATTTATTAACCCCTCATTTAACTGGCTTTATCGAGATGCAAATCTCTGAAGTTTACCCAACGTTCGTTCCCGTGATCACACAGTTACTATTTTCGAGTACGAGATGCGCCGTTAACCGATAAGAAAATGTCATTTAACCCCCTGCGCGCTCCCCCTCCCAACTACTTCGTGTGTTTATCGATCGGTGTCGGACGCGCTCGCCGGAGTCCTCCGCCCGGTACCGGCGGGACTGAGCCGGGTGGGGGGCCGGGGAGGGGAGGAAAGGGCAGGGGGGGGGGGGGGGGGGTCCCTACAGCCCCCTGCCCGCCCCGGGCTGCGTGCCGCGGGCTCCCCGGGGAGCAGCCGGCGCCGGAGCCGACACGTGTGCGCGTTATATAAAGCGGCGCTCCAGCTGGCGGGGCGCAAAGGGTGAATCCGGCGCTAACGCGTTCCTCGCGGATCGATGGCAAGCTTGCACGCTCGTGGGGGCGGGGGAGGGACGGGCTGGGGGACGCTGTTTTGTCACCTTCCCGGCTTTTTATTTATTTGTTTATTAATCGTTTCTTCTTCTTCTTCTTCTTCTTCTTTTTTTTTTTTTTCCTTTTTTTCTTTTTTTTTTTTTTTTTTTACTATGTCTTAGTCCTTGTAACTCTGGTAAGAATGAGTTAAGTTCTTAGCGATCACATTGCGGACCATCTTGTTGGTTTGCAGGTCCCCCAGTGGCTGTTGGCATGAACATAGACATTGCCAGTATAGATATGGTCTCAGAAGTCAATATGGTGAGTATTTATGGTTTGGGGTTGGGAGCTTTCTGCTGGGAGAGAGGGGCTGTCCCTTCCCCCATCTCTACCGAGGTGGAGCGGCGCTCATTGCCGGCCGTGGAAGCGGCGAGGCCTCCTTCCCTGGGGCGGAGCTGGGGGGCATCCGGAGGGTTGCCTCGTCCCGTCCCGTCTACTTTTTCGCGTGGAAGGACCCGGGGAGCACCGGCCCAGCAGCACTGGCCGCGCCGCCGCCGGTTGCAGCAGCTCCCCAGCGCTTCCCGCGAGCAACGGCGCCCCCTGCCGGCCGCGCAGCCACACTGCACCCCGCCACGGCCTGTCCGCCGGGCGGAGGGGCCGCTCCCGCGGAGCCCCCAAGGCAGTCCGGGCTGCTCGGTGCAAACTCTGCTCGCGTCCGCGGGAAAAAAAAGGGTGAGCTTCTAATCGTTAACCTGTTTAATGCCTTTCTTGGTTACTCTTTCACCTCTCAGCTTTTTTTTTTTTTTTTTAAACATTAAAAAATAGTTTGCTGTTTGCATTGCCTTAGCAGGTCGCTTGTTATTATATAAATATATATTGATATATATATATATATAAAAAGGGAAAAAAATGAGGAAAAAAAAAAACAAGCTGATTATCTTGTGCGTAACGAAAGGCTCACCACTTGCTTTTATTTTTTCTACCTTGGCACTCTGTTTATGGTCATGACTGAGTCAAAGTTGACCTGTTTGTTTCTCCAGACGCTTGTCTCTTATCTGAGCAGTTGGAAATGACTGTGCTCAAATGGTGAAGTTGCTGTAGGATAATAACTGGGTAGTTTGTGAAGTGCCTGTGTTACCTGGGAGACCGAGCAACTGCGGGGGAAATGAGAGAAGGCTCAGATGTGTGTTGCAAAAGTGACTGTGATTTGGGCAGAACTTTTCCCTCATTTACTGTCATTATTTGGAAATAATGAGGTCCAAGTTTTCATGTAAGCAGTGCGACTTTGTGTAGGATACAGTTGGCCCTGTAGTCTTGTGAGGATGACAAGATGGAGACATTGAAGCAGATAGCAGCACCTGACACAAAATGAATGTGCTGTGAGATGTTTTCAGGCAGTTGTAGAAGTCTGGAACAAACCTTTCATTGCTCTTGAGAAAGAGTTGCAAAGAAACATTCTCTCCTGTGTTCTGTGTCTGTAATTTGGAAATATCTTGGAAGTTATCCGATGTGTTGGTATGATTGTTCTGCTAACTGAAATGTTTTTGTGCTGTCCCAGACGTATGCTTGGTTTCTCAGAAGTGTTGCAGTGAATGAATTGGTCAACATCTGTTCTCAATCGGGACTTTTTTTCTCGATAACATGTAGCCCTGGGCCTAATTTGGGTGTGAGGTTACTGCTGGTTGTCCTGGGAGCTGTGCTGTGCTACGGCCTGGTAGCAGAGAGCTTGGTGTGGTTCTTTCAAGTTAGCAGGAAAATGCTGAATAATCTCTCCTTGAGCAGCGTCACCTGTGAAGTGAGGGCTGCTCAGCTTCACATGGGCTCAACTTGTAGTTCAGGACCTATTGCAGTCGAGTGTTCTTCTTTCAGGAGTTTTAAGAGCAAAACAAGAAAACTGCATTGCATTTTAAAACACTTATCATTAAAGCTAGTGTGGATAGGAGGTATACGGTGTTGTTTTCTAGGTGGTGTGGGAATGATGGGGGTTTTCTTGTGTAACACTGACCTGCAGACAACAGCTCAACCATCTCAGCTCTTCCAAGGTGGAAGACAGTGCAATTTTCTTTCTCCTTGCCTAGAAAAAGGAAGAATGTTTCAATACTTCCAGAAATTTGGTCTCTGGTTAGAGGTGATACCATATCAGAATACTGTGATTTGGCACTCAGGCTGGCTATAAGGCTGAATATTATTTTTAGTATTCTGAAGTCAGTTTATTATGTCTCTGTCATGGAATGCTTGACTTGTGTGAGACGTTTCAGACTACCTGTATATCTGCTGGGGGAGGTTATACATGGTTAATCTTGTCACACAAACATCTCTGAAGCATTTAAATTGCGGGCTTAAATTGCTCTGAGATAACACCTGTTTCTTAAAACTGACATTCGTTTTCCAGATTTTTTTTTTCACTTTACAATTCCAGAAGAGATTCCAAGCCAAGATAATTTTCTTAATCTTCTTCAGTATAGCATGTAACAGTTCATTTCACAATGAAGTGTACACCTCAACAAATATTAATGTATCTTGATCAGCCTGAAGTAAATTAGAAGAGGGGCATTCCAGCACAGAACAAAACACTTGGTGTACAAGGCCTTAACTTGTTCATTGACACGTTATTCGAATTTTGGCTTTGGTTTTTTTGGAGGGCACCAGAAGGAATGCCACAGAGTAATGGATGGTTTTTTTTAGATGTAAAATCTGAAATAAAGAGAGAAAGACAGAAGCACCTCCTGGATTGATGGACTTGTTTTCTGAGCCATTGGTGTACTCTTGTTTGCTCTGTAGTCCTGGCAAAATGATCAGCCTTCTTTTCTTGACACGTTTCATGCCCCGTACGAACTCCATGCCCTTATGCAGGCAGAAGCATTATCTTCAGTAACAGGGAGTTAATTGTTACATTTCTTCTTTATTAGACAGGAGAATTCACATCTGCTTATAGAAATGGAATGTATGTTTGGGATGGTTGTTGACTTTGAGTTCATACAGAGGTGATGAATACACCTCATAACCAACTCCTAGTGTAATGGGCTTTACTGTTGCCTTGCAAAAACATTTTGTATGCAACAGACTTGAATGTGTGGCCTGCCTTCTTGCTTAACCTTTTGTAGACAGAAACCTCAACTACCAAATATCCTTTTACAAAACGGTTAAGTGCTGGTACTTCTGAACACAATTCCTTCCAGCCCAAGGGAATGTGCTGAATTAACATGAGAAAAATAAGAACTTCAGGCGTATTTAGTTGTTAATGGGTATCATGGCTATTTTTACTCAATCCTTGTATTTTTGGGGGGAAATAATATCCACTGAGTAACGGTTTTATGCAGTGCAGTAACCACTATCGCTAATTCCACTTACCTCTTTGGAGCAGGCCTTGCAGTTGAATGTTAGTTATACTGCAGATTTTCTTGAAGCTTACCTTAATTTTGGGAAGCAAACATAGAGAAATGTGAACTCTACTTAAACTGGAAGGGCTTTCTCGTGTTAATGAGTTTGATTTTACGTAAGATTAGCAGTGAGTCTAACACAAAATGCAATATAACCTGGAGATTTTCCATATGTTTGTTGTTGTACTTGACTTTGCTTCTTGGCTTCCTATTCCTTAATAAAACCTCATTTAAAAAAATAAAATAAAATCTTTATATATTTTGTTTTTTCTTTTTTCCTTTTTATTTTTTTTTCCTTTTTTAATAACCATTGCTAGCTGAGATGCTACATTTCCACATCTGCATCTCCAGGCTTAATTATTGAGCAGACCCCTTGACAACACCACAGCCAAGGGAAAAAAAAAAAAAAA